CGAACGAGGTCAACTATATATGTTTCCATTAATCAGTTTATGAATGAAGTATATAAGAATTCAAAACTAAATTTTCTTTGTAAATTTGGCACGCCGAAAAAGGAAGTAACCATCAGTTTTGGTCACTTTTGCATTCTAGAATTCTATGCATTAATTGTAAGCAACAATCTGTTTGTAGCAAGATATGACTTTAACATAAACTAGTTTATAATATAATTATAATTGAAATTTGTTTTATTCATAAAGTGTACACGCAGAACGAAATTTGTATAAAGTATAAGTCAGTTTAATATATTTTTGATTGATGAATCTGAATTAAATATTTATTTAATTTAATTAGATTCATTAAGAGTTGGAATGCATGTTTTAAGTGTACATGCTAAGTATGGAATTTAATTAATTTTAGAAAGGATAAATTAATTAAATATTGTTGGATTAAATTAGTTTAATCAATTGTTTAGATTTAAATTAATTTAATGAGTACATGGGGATGTGCAATTTAATTGAGATGCATGTTAAATTCTTGTGATGTAAATTAAATGCATGCTAATTAGAATTGATATTTTTGCTGAAATAAATGCAAAGGACGTGTATAAGATTTATATCATATTTATTTGGTTTATTAGATGTAAAAATATATATATATTTACATTATCCTTGGGTTGGAAACTGTTATTTGGATATGTTATGGATTAATGCACCATTATGGGATGGGGGCATATTAGGGACGGATTAACTTACGAGTTAAGTCCTACCTATTTTTAATAAGGGAACGGATTAACCATAGTGTTAAGTCCTACTTATTCGTGTCAGGTCAACGGAATAGTTGGATGACATAGTATTGAAATAATAATTGGATAGATTATTTTTGATGGTTGGATAGGACGGATTTTAAATATATAATTATAGACCATGATATGAGCTTGAGTCTCAGGATCAGTGGTTAGGGTACGTATATTGCCAGGGATGTGTAGCTAGATATAGCGTAGTTGTGTACCCTGGTAGGTCTAGGTACTCATGCCCACTATATGTGCGTTTTGCATGTTGCCTACTATTCAGGTTGAGACAACTCTATAGTCTAGTGAGGTTCCTTTAGTGTGTGTATATATCTATATATGGACTATTTAGTTATTGTTGAATTAATTAGGATGTGTACGTGTATCGGGTCTCTGTTTGGGATGTAGTAGATTAGAACTTGTATGTGGGCCTGACCCACCATTATTTTTCAGGTGTTCGTCAGTTCCAGTCTTAGAGATTGTTCGTGCCGAGCAGAGACAGCCATTCATTCTTCCGACTCTACGTAGGACTTTTCTTCATTAGTAACTTATTATTTTTTCGATTCAGTTATGTCAGTTAGGATATTATTAGGGGTCCACAGTATGGATTCCCGAGTTGTAGTTTAATTAATTACTGGTATCAGAAGATTGGAGGATTTTATTATGGAATTTTAATCATTATTTATTTGAGGATTTTTAAATAAGAATTTATTATTTAGTTTTCCTTTCAGCTTATCTGTTTATTTTTAATTCATCTTGTATTCCAATGCTTGTTTAAATATTAATTGTTTGATATCCCTTGTATTCTGTGCTCGGACTTGATCACCCGTGGCTTTAGAATCGAGGGGTATCAGAATAACCACACCCACATATATATATAAAGCAAATTAAATAAAAGAATATATATATAAACAAATATTTCTTCCAAACCTTTCATATATAAATCAAGAGAAATACCCTACCTTGCCCCTACCATTCTTACTCTAAGGCCCAACAAAAATAAATAAGGATTAGTCCATACTTGGCCCCCAAATAAAACTTTCATTGGGCCTTTAACAACTTTGAACTCATATAAAAAATTTAATCCCAAATCCAACAACATATACATGCTTATTATAAGATCAAGATTTTTTTTTTTTTTTTTGAATGGTAAATTCAATTGAAAATAAAAAACCCAAAAAGGGGAACATGGCCTTTGGCCCAAGCAAGTTACAGAGAAAGCCCATAAAAGCGGCCCAAGAAATGCAAAATATTTGTTGAACAGAAACAGAATTACAACTCCGGTAATGCTCTAGTAACAGACCACCATTGGGGGTTTTGTTCCTCGTTTGGCGGCCAAACAACAATTAATCCGGCGGCATAGGAGGAGGTCTGATGAAAGAGCCAGGAAGATCCCATTCATCCAAAATGTGTCTGGCAGTGTGGGAGACCTTGACAGAGAATGTTGAAAGCTTTTGCCTAACAGTGGAAAGAATACAATTGAGCATGGCATTAGCAGAGATGGAGGTTCCCTTGAAGAATCTTCTATTTCGCTCCATCTATATGTTGTAGATTAGGCCTGAGAGACATAGTTTTCGAACAATATTCCTGGGTTCACTTCTATCTTTCCAAACTTGACTTATTTAAATTTCAAATAATTTTAAAAAAATTTTCATGTGGGACAAGCATTTTCCACATTTTGCATACCCATTTAAGCTTATCAAACACCTCACTGGAGCTAATTTCTCATTCACCCAGAAACGGATTTGAGAAAGTAAATATACCACGTTCCTCTCCTTGCCGTCTATAAATCCGCAAAAAACTCTTAATGGAATTTACTTCAAATTTCATCCAACGTATCTGTTTTGTATGCCCCGTTTCCAACAAAATGTCGGTTGGTCACTGCCGAACAGGGACCATGGTAATGTTCATTCTCAATCGTGACACTAGTGGGCGAGGCCCATAATAAAATACGATTGAAAAATATGTGTAATTGTAATAGTAGGGATACAATTTCCTTTTCTTGTTTAACAATAAAAATTTTTGAATACAGATATGCTCGGGTATAATAATACTTATTATTTGTTTAAAAATATAGTCATACATAAACTAATTTTCTTATCCTACTAGCTTTAAAGAAACATTAAAGCAACTTAAGTTGTGAAATACTAATTAATTCCGGAGTCATATGATTTGCTCATAACTAGTTGGTTTTCTTCTTAACTATTTTTTTTGTTGGGGTCTTGAATTTTGACTTTGTAGTAAATTGTTCAAGCAATAAGTTCATATAACATTACTTACTTCGAAAGTCTACTGCAAAATCTCCCCCAAACTGCTTCATTAGAGACAAGTCCATAAAATATTACTTACCATATGAAAAATGATACAGAAGATTTGAGCTGAAGTCTTCTATAAAAATCTTTGTCAAGATTACGTCGCTAAAAGTTATATGAAGAATTATATAAAATTTTCAGAACTCACACGTCATGCCAATAGTTGTGCAGCACGCAAAACGAGGTGAAAAATGAATAAAGAAAATTTGAAAAATGCCGAAAAAATCAAGGACGTCACGTCTTAGGTAGAAATCTCTGTCCCGAACCGCGTTGCTGGAAGTAAGTTCATACAACGTTACTTACTAAATGAAAAATGATTTAGAAGACTTGAGCTGAGGTCTTCTACAAAAATCTATGTCCAAAGTCCAAACCACGTAGTTAGAAGCTACATGGAAAATAATACAAAAGACTTGAAGTCTTTTGTGGAAAACCTCAAAAGTCTTCTGTGAAAATCTCTGTCCCAAACAGCGTCACTAGAAGGAAGCCCGTAAAACATCACTTATCATATGGAATATAATACAAAAAACTTGAGCTGAAGTCTTCTACAAAAATCTATATCCAAGTTACACGTAGATGGAAGCTATATCATAAATAAATAAATAATAATTAAGACTTTAAGTTTTGCTGTTCAAATAAGGTATACAGAAATCATTGCAACCACATAATATGAAGTGTGGCCGTCGCGGTGCCATGGGGAATTTGAGTGAATTGGCATTGATGATTGTTTCTATGGGGGATTTTTGGGCGGAGAGATTGGGGTGAAGAGGAAAACTTGGGTTGCCATAGCCATAGAGGGATGAGAGAGGAAGTTGCCAGTGATGGTGGTTATTGGTTTATAGGTCATTGTCACAATTGGCCCCAATTTTCACAACCATATTCCAGACCCCACACAATGTCATGGAGAGGACTTTGTCTCGAGGATAAAAATAAAATGTAACTATCGTGAATTCTGCATCATATTTATATATCACAAAAATTCTTAGGTTTTGTTTGGTTAGAAAAAATAAATAAAATAAAATAAAAAGTGAAGTGAATAAGAAGAAAATTTATTTTCTAGCATGTTTGGTTAAGGTGGAAATTTATTCTAACAAATTGTATTGAATAGCATAAAAATTACTACTTATATTTGTAGTTTTAATAATTGTTTTTTATTTTTTTTTCTTTAGATTTTTAATTTTCTACCCATATAAATTAAGAAAATTTTGAATACTAAGCACCATTAGAATGATGTTATAATTACAAAAATACCCCTTCTTGGACATTTAAGAAAAATTAAGTTTTTCTTAAAATAATTTTTGTTTTAGGAGCTCACTTCACGTCAGATGTGATGTCTAGATGTTGTTCCTATATTTTGCTAGAATGAACACCCATTGTTGTGCCAAACTTGGATTCAATGAGAGAGAAAATAGAACCCTAAAATGATGTTTGAAAGCTTAAGGATATGTCATCGTGGTGGCAATTGGGGAAGTGTTAGTTGGACTTGGATCCTCTAAGTTATCCTAAGCTGAATTCGTTACAGATTAACACTGTGACATTTAAAATCTATCTACTGCTGGTATTAAACCACGTCAACTAATTTAAAGAAAATTTAAAAACTGTACCATTTTGAGATTAGAAAAATTTACCAAAGTTTAAAAACTGTACATTCTAACTCAATGTAGAAGTAAACCCTACCAGTAGGTCACACCATTTAAACTCTTAACTCAATTGTTTCCCCTACTTTTTCAAACTCACACCAAATCAATCAAATTAACAACTTTTTTAATTCAATAAGGATTCTTGAAACTAACAGATTTACTCTTGTCATTAATTCAATAAAAATTCTTCAAACTAACATAATTACTCATGGAAATATTTTTGTATAAATCAATAAACATTCTTGAAACCAAATTAACAGAATTATAAATTCGAAAGTTTTCAACATATTATATCAAAATAAACTATCCAAAGTACATTCTTTCAAAACTAAACCAACCAAATTACATTATTTCAACACACCAAATTAAACAAACCAAATAACATTCTTTCAACACACCAAACTAAACAGACCAAATTATATTTTTTTTTGGGTAAGTAAAATCTTATTAATAAACGAAGAACTGTATAGTAAGGGCAAAACCCAACAAAAGAGAAAGCCCTAGGGCAAGATAGAGGGCTAAACAGACCCAACCAAAATAGGAAACAACCTCCCAACCGAGCCACTACAAATCAAAAGCAGCAAGCTGGACCGAGGAGAGAGGGACAATCAAAAGGATTACAAAGCAACCTGTGGAGGTATGGCATTGATCACTGAGCTCAGAAGGCTCCAATCAGCAACGACAGACCTCGAGGCTGCACAATCCCTATATTTAACGGTTGCGAGCTTACACCGCACGCAGTCATCAAATTACATTATTCCAAACCAAAGTACGGAAGTCTTAAAAAGGGAGATGAATAGTTCACACAAAATACATTAAAAACCACTCTGAAGCCTCTTGAAAGGCTTTCCATGAGAATTACATGAGTTGTAGAGCTGAAAAGAAAATGATATAAATGTTAGACCAAATTAAAGAGTATAAATTAAAGAAGAATATTCTTGAAAAACAAGCGGAGAACAAAAAGAAACACTAAACTTTTACATAAATTAGTAAATGTAACACTTGAGCTCATACTATATATGCCTTGGCAAATATCCATAATGAGCTCAGTTTTGATTAGTAAATATAGCATACAAGCTTATGCTTTGATTTTTGATTAGTTAAAAACACTCAAGCTCCTACTATATCTTAAAAATGGGAATGATTAATATAATTGAAAGAGTGCCAAAAGGTTTATCTTTTCTTCTTTCCCGTAAGTGAAAAATATAATGGCACATGAATAGACAATAAAAAAAATACATAAAAGAGATCATTTAAAATTCCATATACTCCCTCCGTCCCAAAAAAGGCCTATTTATAGAAATTGGAGTTTTTAAGGGGACATACATTTAATGCATTGTCCCCTTTTAAAATTACCAACTTGTCCCTTCTGATTTAAATATATATAGTTACAAAGTTTGAAATTTTTTAAAAAGATAAAGGACAATTTTAAAAATATAGAACTTATTTGCTTTGACTTTTCAAAGAGGACAATTAATTTGGGACATGTAAAAAGAGATAAATAGACTACTAATATGAGATGGAGGGAGTACTCAATTGAATCAATTAGTTAAATATAAAATTCGATCTACTTGGTGAACATATATAAATTCATTAACTAATAATCTAAGTACCCATTAATTGAAATATCAATTTAAAATTTAAATCTAATCACCAATTAAAGAACCATACACGCAGTGATTTATAGACACCCACACATAGAGTGATATATAAACTCCACACACACGCGGTGATGATATATGGACACCCACACGAATCTTTTAATTTGAAGAAGTAAGAGAGAGGGAGAGAGGGAGTGTGTGTGTGTGTGTGTGTGTGTGTGAGAGAGAGAGAGAGAGAGAGAGAGAGAGAGAGAGAGCACTGATCATAGGACATAGCACTAGTGGACTGCCACGGTGGTACTTGGTAGGTATGAAGGAAGAGAGGTGGAGGAAGATGAGAATGAACAAATTTTTTTGGTTTGGTAAAGAGGAGATAAATAGATAAAGGATAATATGATAGATAAGTCATCTTTCCTCTTTTACAAATTTTCATCCCTATAAATGGATGAAAAAAAGACAAGTAAAACTATTATGTAAGTTTTAAATTACGATACTATCATTTATAAATTACACTATTACATCTACTAATGAATATAATGGTAAAAAGAAACAGAAAACTATATATAGATATAGGTATAGTTATTGAGTTAGCCGTCCTAAATAATAAAATTATCTATTTTAAAAGTCTATATTTCAATTTGATTGATTTCAACAAAATAATTACAAATGCATCAAAAATTATTATTAAAGTCCCAAATACACTCTTTGTAATCTAGTTTGCTTTTTTGCTGTTGAGATGTATGCCTTTGGTTACTGTTTGTTTCCTTCTTTAGTAAAATTTGTAGTGAGACCAAATTTACAAAATTATGAAATAAAATTAAAAAGTAAAATAAAAAAAACATACCAACAAAAACCTACCAATAAACGTACCAATATTATGGTGTAAAAGTCTAATTAAAGATATAAAACACTCTTTGAAACATAAAAATTATAATAAGATTTTATGGTGTACCAATATTATGGTGCAAAGGAATATGACTTATCAAATATGACAATTGTTTTGAGAATGAAATATTTGTATTTGCTACATTATTTTGTTGGGATCGTGTGATACCCCTTGTGTTCTTAGCAAAATAATATAGTTTTTTAATAATACGTTTATTTTATTTTGCTGTTTTATTTTATTATATATTCTTGTAAATTTGGTCTCATTATAAATATACATGAAATCAATTTGAAAAGATAATTAGAAAAACTTTATTTGATATATATATATATGGATAATTAATCAATTTTATTAAAGAAGGAATCAAGCAGCACCTAAAGAGGCATATTTCTGACAACCAAAAAGAAGTCAAATTACAAAGAGGGTATTTAGGACTTTAACAATAATTCTTGATGTATATGTAATTATTTTGTTTAAATCTATCAAATTGAAAATAGACTTTAAAAATAGACCATTTTGTTATTTAGGACTCCTAATTCTGCCTATATGTAACTTTCCCTGCATCTATAAATTGATGTAATGGTAAAAATAATTTAAAACTTTTTATTCCCTAGTCTCCTAATCAATACAGCAATTTGTGAGTTGTTGAATTTTTTTTTTTTTTTTTTTTTTTTAATCTAGCTAAGAAATGACACAATCTCTTCTAAATGTCTCATCTATCCCTCTTTCTCTCCTTTTTATTTAAATATTTTCCTACAAATCAATCTTGATAAAGACATAAATAATACTTACCTAAGTGTTATCTGAGTTAGTTGCGATTGTTGATTATCTTCTCCAAGATCTCCTTCCTCCCATTCATTACATTAACTCTGCACGTCTCAGTATGCTCGCTCAATTCCTGAATGGTTTTCATAAACCCACTCAGCTCTTTCTTCATCTCTTCCATAGTCTGCCTCACAGCAGCATCTTCTTTAACGGCAAAAACAGCATTTTCCAACAGTGACTCAAACTCATTTTTCAATTTATCCACAACTGCTCGAATGTTTTCTAAGTCAGCTTTCCCAATGAGAATCCAAAAGTTTATTGAACTCGTTATATCTAACCGTCCTTTCACCTCTTTCTCATAACTCATCCAAAGGGAATTCATCCATCCACCCATTGGCCCTAACCCGGCAGCAGTGACAGCCCCCAAGACCGCCACAAACGGTGGTGCAGCAATTGCGGCTGCCACAAAAGAACATATCAGAACAGAAGCACAAGTGGCACCAAAAATGACATTCGAGACAATCCTCCAAGTATTCATTGACTTCAACTTCTTATCAAGCTTTTTCTTCTTTTCTCGCACTTTCTCTAACATTGACTTCTGCATTTCATAGACAGATGTTAACATGGAGGAGAACTCTTCCGTAAACGGGCTACCTGTCGTCTTGAAATTCTCCAATAATTTTAGCGTCTTTGAGTAAGTTTTCCTCTTCCCATCAACCCTTTCTTTCTGTTCTTCCTCAAATTGCTCTATAGCGACTTGAATCTTGGAATGGCTTAATCGGGCATGTTTGAGGCACTTCTGGAGAGCATTACAGACTTGCACAATCTGATAACTGTAATCCAAGTAGTCAATCACGAGATCGTACATGTCATCATTCTTCAATATGTCAAGTTTGAATTGGAGAAGGAGTTCGGCCACTTCTTGAGTCGTATTGACGAAGCAGCCAGTGAGCTCTTTCACTGAATTCAGAGAGAGTGGCCCATCCCGGGCCGACCCATTTACGAAGGTGTCGATGAATTGGGTGGTGCTTTGTTGGATTTCGGACGCGTTCCTCTGTTTTGCTAGATTGGGCACCCATTGTGGTGGCAAACTTGGATTCAATGAGAGAGAAACTAGAAAACCCTCAAAGGAAATTTGAAAGCTAGCTTGGGGATATATATATATATATATATATAAGATATAATGGTGGTGGCAATCTTGGATTCAATGAAAGAGAAATTTGAAAGCTTAGGGATGTGTTAGATATTAAGATAGGGAGTAGGTATGAGGATGATTGCCATGAGCTCAATTTTTCAGCTGTAATGAGAGAGTGAGACGAGAGTCTAGCCAGATGAAAAAAAAAGATGGAAATTGTTGTGTATAAGAATGAAGTTCATCCCCGTTTAAATATGAAAAATGCTACTTGGGCGAAGACTTCAGCAGATATCCCAAACCGCGTAAACGGTGAAATTTGACTAGTTGGTTTATATCATAATTGTTTTTCTGTTAGTATGAATTATCTAATTTAAAAATAAGTATGACATCGTGATAACGCATTTCATATTTATATAAATTTAATTGATTGTGTTCAATTATCAAAATATGTATCACAATTATGTATTATATATATGATTATCCTGTATTATTGATTTATTAATTTGTTGCGAGCATGGTAGGTTATCCGACATAAGGCTATTGATTTATTAATTTGTTGCAACTCTCATCACTTGACGTTTTCAAGCTTCATTGAAGCTTCTTAAGACCGAGTCTCACAACTACTTTCATAAAGAGTTCACTATACAATTAATAATGCAAATAGAGATATATGTTCCCAATTATGCTAAGTGCCAAATCCTACTTACATATGGCAAAATTTCTGGCGTGATATATGTATGTGTATATGTGTGTGTTTGTGTATATATATATATATATGTGTGTGTGTGTGTGAATGGTATATGACTTAGATCCGTGAGATGTCGTAAGTATTTGATGAGGATCGTAGAATTCATGATATTATTTGATGAATTCAGTGTTATATTACTCATCTAACATGGTTGATGTATTTCATGAGGAATTGAAGAAATTATTTAGTAGGATGCAAGGGACCGTGGAAAACAAATTTCTGTTCCTGAATGTATGTTGTTTCTTGGAAAGTTGATTGGAATTTGGTTAATAAGGTTTTGGTAGAATTGATGGGTTTTAGTTAGGGTGACAATTCGTGTTCACGGGTCGTAATCGTGTTGTGTCAACTTAAGAGTATTATACTAAATAACTCAACCCGAACACGATCCATTTATAATCGTGTCAGGAACTCTCAATACTAACCCGACCTGTTTATTAAACGAGTTACACGTGTAACTCATTTAATGACCTATTTAAAAAAAAAAAAAATTATATTATTTAAATTACTAATAATACTCAATAAAATAATAAATACTAAAAAAAAAAGATTAAATAGTTTCTAGTTTAATCTTTTATTAAAAAAGATTACACTTGTACCCCTCACATTTTGAGGACACACAGAGAAAGAGACAAACAGAATATCGAAGTTCTGACTCAACAAAGACTCTGAAGTATCTGAAGAAGAAGAACAACACTCCGAATTTTCTGAAGAAGAAGAACAATAAGCATGCCACACATACGCAGTTCTTCATCAAAGATTATCAAATCCACCGTTCGAGATCAAGCCTTACCGACCCTCATTCATAAATCCATTTGAGTTTTCTTCAATTTCGAAGAACTCAAATACAATTCAACCACCGCCCAAGATCAAGCTTCCGAAACTCTTGCGCTGACGTTCTAAGGAGATTCAATCAGAGGAAGATTCTAGTTATAGTAGAATCAAATATAAAGAACTGTACTCATTTATATTCTAATATTATTTAATAAAGTTATTGTTATTGCATTTATTTTCGTTCTTGAATTTCCGGAATCAAAACTTGTGTGTACAGTAACATGTAGGAATGATAATTTACACCATCCCACTCGTTTAGACCAATTTGGTTTTTGGAGCCCGTTTATGCGCTTCCTCCTATAGGAAGGAAAAAAATTAAATAAAAGGGAGAGAAAAAGGGTAGAGAAGAGATCATGTCATTTCCTCTTTTTGTGCTTAATTAGTTAGATGAAAAAAAAAAAAACTAACAAATTACTGTATTCGTTAGGAGAATAGGGAATAAAAAGTTTTAAATGATTTTTTCCATTATATCCATTAGTAGATGTAGTATTCTAATTTATGAAGGATAGTGTCGTAATTTAAAACTTATATAATAGTTTTACTTGTCTTTCTTCATCTCTTCATCCCATTTGTAGGGATGAAAATTTGTAAAAGAGGAAGGATGACTTGTCCATCATAGTATCCTTTCCCTCATTATCTCCTTCCTACCGAACGAAGAAAATTTGTTCATTCTCATCTTTCCTCCACCTCTCTTCCTTCCTACCCTACCATTGTCGCAGTCCACTGGTACACACAATATCAATGTTCTCATACACACAATCTCTCTCTCTTACTTCTTTTTCTTTGTTAAATATAAAAGAGAAAGTGAGAGAGAGAAGAAACATATATTGTATTGATATAAAAAATATAAGAATACATATGGGTTTTATATAGGAGACGACATGTGTGAAGAGCAAGTAAACCTAAGCTCTATATGGTAAACCTAAATATGATAACAATATATTCTAACTGCCATCTCAAAGTCAAGTTTGGTTATATGAAGCCATCTTGAGTTTGAAGACAATCCTTTCACCCAGATGTAGTTGACGTTGCACCGATGCTAACATGATTGACATGGCAACTGAAGTGGCAGGTGGCACTATTGCTGGTACTTTTGCTGCATGGCAACTGACGTGGTAGGTGACGTGGCACAACTACTGGCACTGTTGTAGAATGTGTCTGATGTTGCTCTACCAATGCTGACATGTTAGGTGACGTAGGATAAATATGTGAAGATCTTGGAGATAGGTGTGGAGCTTGAATAGGTTGACGTTGCCATCCCCGGTCGTAACTATTATAAACGGATGGGTGATGAATTTGTGAAGATTCACCACGTTGAAGGCCCGTGTGAGAGGATGATGGCCACTAACATTGCCACGATGATGGACCTGATCCGACACGTTAAGGTGCGGGATTACCGCTGGTGCACATGAAAGTGCATAGAATATTGGGATTACCACTTAAGGCGCATGGTGGCACGGTGACGGAGCTGACACATTGAACATCTCTGAACGAGGCATCTCGTTGGGTTTTCTGGAGGAGTACTTAGACAACGAGACTTCCCTGGACGGGATATATGAATATCTTGGCACGGTGGTGATATATGGACATTTGAAGAATGTTAGTATATATTGTTACCATGTTTAGGTTTATCAAATAGGGTTTAGGTTTACTTGCTCTTCACAAATGTCGTCTCCTATATAAATCCCTATGTACAGTTCTTTAATTTGGTAATTAGATTTAAATTTTAAATTGATATCTCAATTAATGGTTACTTTGATTATTAGTTCATGAATTTATATATGTTCACCGAGTAGATTGAATTTTATCTTTAATTGACCGGTTGAATTTATATACATATTCTTTAAGTAGATTGAATTTTATATTTAACTGATCGATTCAATTGAGTATATGGAATTTTATACTTTTTTTTTTGTCTATTCAAGTGGCTTTATATTTTTCTCCTATGGGAAAGAAGAAAAGAGAAACCTTTTGGTTTTTTTTCAATTATATTACTCATTCCCATTTTTAAGGCATAGTAGGAGCTTGAGTGTTATTTTAACTAATCAAAAATCAAAACATAAGCTGTGTGCTATATTTACTAATCAAAACCTGAGCTCATTATGGATATTTGTCAAGGCATATATGAGCTCGATCGAGTGTTACATTTACTAATTTATGTAAAAGTTTAGTGTTTGTTTTTCAAGAATATTCTTCTAATTTATACTCTTTAATTTGGTCTAACATTTATATCATTTTCTTTTCAGCTCTACAACTCATGTAATTCTCATGGAAAGCCTTTATAGAGACTTCAGAGTGGTTTTTAATGTATTTTATGTGTGAAACTATTTATCTCCCTTTTAGGACTTTTGTACTTAATTTGGTTTGTTTAGTTTGGCGTGTTGAAAGAATGCAATTTGGTTTGTTTAATTTGGTATGTTAGAAAAATGTAATTTAGTTGGCTTAGTTTTGCATTGAAAGAATGTAGTTTGGACAGTTTATTTTGGTATGGCATGTTGAAAACTTTGGAACTCATTAATTATGTTAATTTGGTTTCACGAACGTTAATTTATTGATTTATACAAAAATGTTTCCATGAGTAATTCTGTTAGTCTTTATCATGCATTGAGAGTCCGAATTGTTATTGAGTCTATTGACCGGTTGATAATGGAGAAAAACTTATTTGGATAGTGTATGGTGCAGTTGACTCACTTACACCCGAATCAAACAAGTTTTTCTCTTGATTATGTGCAGTTGAGTTGATTGAGGAGACGAGATTTTATTATTGATAATTAATAAAAGATCTCTAATTTTTATATAACTATTATTTTTAAATTCTAATTGAATTATTGCACCAGTTAATAATATTAATTTAATATAACTGTATTAAATGTTGTGGTACAGGGGTTATTGTTGATTAGGCAGAATATTACTTACTTTGCTTTCCAATCTCACTCTTTATTTTTCTTCACATTTCTGGTCTTCGACACTATTGCTTTTGCTTTCCAATCTCACTCTTTATTTTTCTTCACATTTCTGGTCTTCGACACTATTGCTTGGTAGCTTTGTTGAAACAGTATTCATTTTGCATGTTCTTATATAGTTTATGTTAGTATTCAGTTATTTTTGTTTAGAAGGACCTTATGTAGTGAGGAGTAGTACTTGTAATGGGATATTTTATTATTAGAATGTTGTTTTCAGTTTTTCGGATATCAATTGGTTTATTTTATGTGAATATAGAATTATGTTTGTTAGCATTGTGGTCTAGTGTGTAACGATTCACTCTACCACATGGTATGATATTGTTCGCTTTTGGCCTGAGCCCGCACGGTTTTGTTCTTTGGTTCTACCCAGGCGATGTGGGACTGTGCACCCATAGCTCGCCAGTATGGTAGCCTGACAGTGTCTCTCGCATCCGCCCACGGCACAGCCGCCCACATGGTCATTACAATCCACCCCCCTTAGAGGCCCGACGTTCTCATCGGCACACTTCCGGCTGGGTCAGGCTCTGATACCATTTGTAACGATCCACTCCAACACATGGTATGATATTGTCCGCTTTGGGCCTGAGCCCGCACGGTTTTACTCTTGGGTTTCACCCCAAAAGGCCTCATACCAATTGGAGGTGACACACTTACATATAAGCACTTCACCTTTCCTCTACCCAGTCGATGTGGGACTGTGCACCCGTAACTCGCCAGTGTGGTAGCCTGACAGTGTCTCTCGCACTCGCCCACGGCACACCCGCCCACAAGGTCATCACATTGTGGGCGGGTGTGCCGTGGGCGGGTGCGAGAGACACTGTCAGGCTACCACACTGGCGAGTTACCGGTGCACAGTCCCACATCGCCTGGGTAGAGGAAATGTGAAGTGCTTATATGTAAGTGTGTCACCTCCAATTGGTATGAGGCCTTTTGGGGTGAAGTCCAAGAGCAAAACCGTGCGGGCTCAGTCCCAAAGCGGACAATATCATACCATGGGTGGAGTGGGTCGTTACAAATGGTATCAAAGCCTGACCCAGCCGGAAGTGTGCCGACGAGGACGTCGGGCCTCTAAGGGGGTTGGATTGTGATGACCTTGTGGGTGGGTGCGAGAGACACTGTCAGGCTACCACACTGGCGAGCTATGGGTGCACAGTCCCACATTGCCTGGGTAGAGGAAAGGTGAAGTACTTATATGTAAGTATGTCACCTCCAATTGATATGACCCCTTTTGGGGTGAAACCCAAAAGCAAAACCGTGCGGGCTCAGGCCCAAAGCGGACAATATCATACCATGTGGTGGAGTGGGTCGTTACATAGTGTGTATAAAAATTTCTTGTCAATGATAAAAAATATATATATAATAAAACAAATAAATTATGGTTGTCATTCTTTTTAGTTTTGTGGAAAAAAGTTATAGCATCAGATTATTATTACTAGTCGCTGTTAATGGTTAATTTTGTTGGTATTGTGATATTAAGTCATGCACTTGTTGAGTAATAGGGCAAGGGTGTCTTGACCTCGACTTGGGGCGCGACATAATTGATAAAGGTATTTGTTAAAATAAATAGATGACATTAAAATATAATATTTAACTTTCAATTGATTTTGGTTTTATGCAGATTAAATTAGAATTTCATTTTTGGTGAATTTTATAGAAAAAATATATATTTTAAAATTTATATAAGTTCTGAATAAGAGTACACTTAATTAATTTTAGGATAAAGTGCAATAACAAAGTCCTATAACTGTGTGTGAATTTGCAAATAACTCATTTGAAGCATATTTTGTGTACAATACCCCCTAATTAGCATATTTTGTGCACAATATCTCCTAACTATCATATTTTGCACAAGGGCATCAGATTAGTAGTCTATATATCAGCATGTTAGGGTGCACAGGGGCATTTTCGTAAATATACAAAAAGTAAATGAAATTTATAGTTTGGGGTTGGAAAAGTTAGGGGAGCTTCTTTTAACCTTAGAAGTCTATTGGTGAAAACGGATTTGGATTTGGAGGTCCAAAGAGTTAAATTTTCCCATTATGACTCTTCAAACATATGTAACGTCTAATCCTGTCAGAGCTGTGGTTTTCTCTTATTCTAATGTAGGGAAGCACTCCTTAGCACCCATGCCCCTTAGCAGGAACATGGCATGCCTTGCATGTAACACACATTGGGAGCTTAGCAAACATGCTTACGCATGGCATGCACCACCCGAAGGTGGTGGCTCGAGAAGGAGACACTCGGTGGCTGGTCGTTGACACTAAGGGCGGGCAGTGCACGCGCTAATGCGCGCACGTGGGCATGTTGTGGGCGCACACATGGTGTGCGCGCCATGCCCATGGGCACACACATGCATGCACCAATAAGCCCCAAGCCTTATGCATGGTTTGGCAAACCAACACATGTGGGTCTTTAGATTGTGCTAACTTGCCTTAAGCAAGGTTGCGGCTCGGATGGACCGAAGTGGGGGCATGACCCAATGCTATGCCCCAACATGTCAAGGTGCGGGATAACTCATGAGCATGGATTGGCTTGGTTTCTATTAGAGGGGAAGGGGAGGGAATTATTTAATTTTTTCAAATTATATACAATAAACAAAAAGACAATTAGTGGGCCAGCTTGGCTAGGAGAGCATGAAACATTGGGCCCTGAGCGGGCTCAATATATATATATATATATATATGTGTGTGTGTGTATTTTTAAAAATGAAAATAATAAAACAAAATGTAAAGTTGCAACACCTATTGGTCATTTCCTTTTGCATTATTTAGTCAGCCAAAAATTTCCAGTTGAATTACAATTGTCTTTTTTTCCCCACCCATTACAGTGTCAACTAATTTGCAACCCGTTAGATAAACTAGTGTCAGCAGACACCTAAAGATCAGAATTTTAGTGAAAAACATAATAATAATAATTATTTTTTGTATGGCAATAGTTACTAGTTAGTTGGGAAGGAGGGAATTCAACCTAAGATCAATAAGATAAAGAAAATTTTAGGCTGATATTTTTACCACTCGAGCAACATTGCCACATAAAAAAATAAAATTAATTGAGAGGTGCTTATTGCTCTTGCATACTATTTTACCGCACAAAGTCAAAATTCATGACGTCAACAGAAAAATAGTTATGAACAAAAAAACCAACTTGTTATGAGCAACTTCTATATGATCCAGAATATCAATTTCACTACTTTTCTAGGTTCCTTAATGTTTCGCTTGTGTTGAACAACTTTTCTGTTAATGTCAAAAATCAAACTTGTTTATGTGTACTAATCACTATGATCAAGGAGGTATAGGCAACCCTATATTTTCAGCTGTTTCAAATTTTTTATACAGAGAAATTATCCAGAGGAGATTGAATGTTCAAGTTCAGTAATGAAAATACCATCACTTGATGTTACTAAAAATTCATTAACAGCACTAGTTATATGTTACTCTACCTTCCGGACATAGTCCTCTCAATGGCATTTCCGTGTGGGTCAGGTTGTGAGTTAGGTTCTTCTAAATTTAGTTAGAAGAGTACGAGTTTTCTTGTTTATGATCGAAGGTTGGATAACGACCCCAAAAATGGGCTCAATGAAGCTGCGCTTAGAGAAAAGCTTTTACTTTTCTAGTGTTCAACCGAAGACTCGCGTGGAAGTCTTTGGCTGTTGGTTTTGTATTAGAAGATGCGTGTAATGAGACGCACCCTACATTGCGTACGTGGATGTAAAAACTTTCGTGTACCATTTTTTTTAATATTTAAATCTGTGTTCACATAGATGATCCTCATACCATTATCTTATCTTCATATTTAACAAATCTCCAAGCTTTGAGATTTTGTTTTAGTGTTTTGCTAATTTCTATTTCATCTAATCCAAATTGCCACCACAATGGGCGGTAATTCTAGCAAAATAGAGAAACAGGAATATCTAGACGTCCAGTCAGTCGTAAGCTCCTATGAGGAGGATTGTGGACGCGACCCATTTCTTCAGCAATTCAATTCGAGGCTCCAACAAGACACCAATGAATTCATCAATACAGTCAAGGGTCGGTCACTCTGTATGGACTCGATAGGAAAGTTCTCAGACTACCTCTACAAAACCGATCAAGAAGCGGCCAATTTTATTCTCAAAACCAATAGCGACATATTGAAGAATGCAGAGCTGTACGATTATGTGAAGGACTACTTCGATAACAGTCAAAGGACTTTGAAACTATGTAATGCTCTCGAGGCTTGCCTCCGTCGTACCAGAGACAGCCAATTGAAGATTGTAGTCGCTATAGAGAAATTTGAGGAAGAAGAGAAGAAATTATCAGGGTTGGATGGGAAGGAGGAAAACGCTTCCAAGACGGCCGACTTATTGAAGGCTTTCAAAACTGCTGGTGACCCATATACAGAAGAGTTCTTCACGTTGTTTGACTCTGTTCAGAAAGAGCAAAAGACAGCGTTAATGAAATTGGAAACTAAGAAGAGTCAGCTTGATAAAAAGTTGATGAAAGCCAGTGATGGGAGGACTCTAACGAATGTAATTTTTGGTGTGACCTATGCTTCTTTTCTGGTATGTTGTGTTCTGGTGATGAGAATTGTTGCACCGCCTTTAGCGAAGAAGTTAGCTCCTAAAGCTGAGGAAAAGTGGGAGACCGTTCATAACTGGATCAAGTATGATGAGCTGAAAGCACAGATGGATTTAATAAGTTCATTGACGGGTTACACTCAGACAGGAATCTGGCAGCTGGACACCATTCGAGTACAAGTGGACAGTTTGAAAACTGAGATTCAGTCACTGTTGACTAATACTGATACAGCTCTTGGTGATGGTGAGAAGGTTGTGAAGCTGGCTATGGTTAAGATCAAGGAGGACCTGATCAATTTTTTGAAAAAAATTGACGAATTGAATAAGAGTACTGAGAAGCTCAAGAGTGTTACAATGAAGAAGAGGAATCAGATCACAGAGAAGATTGATGCATTGCCAGGGCAAGTGAAGAAATAACACCGGTACCTTGGTATGTATGCCTTACTGTACTTATGAGCATTGTGATATGGTCCAATTTACTTAATATTTACCGTTTATCAAGATTAATTTATAGGTTTACCATTCCCTTAAAATCCAAAAAAAAAAAAAATAAATAAATAAATAAAATAATTTATAGGATGAGTTTTATTGGTGTAATTTATAGGATGAGTTTTATTGTGAGCCAGGAGGCCTAGTGGCCGGATGTAGATTCTTGCCTTACAATTTTACATTAACATAACATTGAAATGCTAATATGAAAAAGCTAATATGGCGAGGGATGTTCATTCAAGCATGGGCTAGGGGGGCACATAATGCTAGCCCATTACTATTTTCTACTTTTTATACACATGGTTTTATTAAATTATAAAAAAAAAATGCACTCCTAAATTTTTTTATTTTTTTTTTTCCTAGTTGGTACTCATACACATTTGTCTCTTCTGAGACTTGAACCCCTAACTTCCCTTTGGAAAGTAAAAGATTGATACCACTAGGCCACTGGCCCATTGGTTAAATTTTTTTATTTCAAGGCTACCCCTGTGAGTCATGCTAGCATATTAATTTAATTTTATTTATTTTATTATTATTATTATTATTATTATTATTATTATTTTACATTTTATGCCTGTAGTTTATTAATGCTAATTTACGGTGAACCATGGGTCATGTCTCCCCACCTCATTTATCATGCTGATTTACTAATTTACCCTATATATTAGTATTAGAAACCTTAAGGCTTCATTTGGATTGAGTGATTTGAAAAGAAAAAGAAAAGAAAGGGTAGTGGAAATGGTGTTTGGATATCTTTAAGTGGAGACAAAAGAAATGATTGAAAGGGATTTGGAGAGAGAGAGCTATATATCCCTTTGAATCCCTTATGTGCTATCCTCCAAAAAAACATAAGAAGATAATTGGAGGGAAATGATAGTGAGTAAATAGTATTTTTATAATCCCGATATGACACAAACACAGCTGGAAGTAATGCCCCACATTGAATTGCAAATAATCATGGGAAATTAAAACCATATATGTAATAGTCAGTATCAGCCCCAAAGAAACCTCAATGTACGAGTACAAATATGAAAGGTAATGACCCAATAAAGATCATCTGGTTCCCATTGCCATAAGCCAATTATTCTTCCTTGATCTTATTTTATGTTCTTATTTTCATATATCTCATCTATGTGTTCTTGATTGAGTGTTCGAGCGTGGAAACCCTTCGGGTCAAATTGTTGCATTCGGGCTGAAATTTTACGCACCTACAATAATATTTTATAAAAAGGTTATGATAGTAATTTAATTCTTATCCTTTCTTTTCTTTTCTCTTCTCTATCTTTTCCAAACAATAATTCTTTCATTTCTTTTCTTTTCTCTCATAATTTACCCAAACATGAATAAAAGTTATTGCTATCATTTCTTTTCTTCTCCTCTCTTATAACTAATGCTATCATTTCTTTTCTTTTCTATCATGTTTATCCAAACGAATCCTAAAGGTGTAAATCCAAATTTTAATTCACATTTACTTTAAGATGCTAAAGATCCAAGACACTCCCACCCTCAGATTCCACCCCTCATGGCGTGCCTCTAACCATTGTCGCCTACTTTCGTCTACCTCACCAACCATTGTTGCGGTCCATTGGTGATATGACGTATCTATTTAATTTGGTCTAACTTTTATATCATTTTTCTTTCAGGTCTACGACTCATGGAATAATCATGGAAAACCTTTGAAACGACTAGCTTGAGATATTTGTTTTTATGAAATTATATGTCAAACTATTTATTTCCCTTATGATTTTGACATGCATTTGTACTTTGGTTTGGAGGAATGTAATTTGGTATCTTGGAAGAATGTATTTTGGTTTGCTTAGTTTGGTATATTGAATAATGTACTTTGGATAATTTATTTTGACATGGGATGTTGAAACTTTTTGAAATTATTAATTCTGTTAATTTGGTTTAAAGAATGTTTATTGATGTATACAAAAATCTTTCTACTAACTCTATTAGTTTGAAGATTGATATTGAATTAATAGGCATGAGTAATTCTATTAGTTTGAAGAATTGCATTTGAATTAACATTATATAAAATTGATTAATTTGGTCTGAGTGGAAAGTAGGGGAAAAAATTGAGCGGGTGATTAAAGTGTAGAGTTTGTGCGCAACATAATGGTTATGGAATATAATATGGATAATTTACCTAGAAGGATGGTGAATATATTTTAACTTGCTCCTTTATTCAATTTTTACTTATTTTAATTTTATGAAAATAAAACTAAAATCAAACCACAAAGCAAAAATAAAGTACAAAGAAAGTAAATAAGGTTTGAGAGATGACAGTAGGATTTTTAGCGAGGAAACCCCAATTGGTAGAATAGACCAATTGTTGCGGGAAAAACCTCATTGGACTATAGAGTCCAGAGAAAAATGATCCACCATATTTGAAGCAAAGTACACCGAACTTTGACTCAGGCTCACACCCTATTGTTCTACCAAAAACCAATTGTTGACAATATATCCCTGACTTTGCGACTCCTTGTCGAATAGCTCTCGACCTTAGGCTTCTTTTTTATCTCTATAAAAGAGTTGCAGGTAGATAAAACAACATTCTACGAATGCTTTGACCCCTTCAAAGTGTGATCGCTTCACCCATTTTCTTCAAGATCTGGATTTGATGAAGAATGAATGAATTCTGCTTTTCGGAATCTCTAAATCTTCAATTATGCTACAATTCCGATGAGATAGAGAATAACACTACTAAATTACTCTTCTGTTTATGTGTGTGCTCTCAAAAATAAAATCAGAAAAATCATATTGATTTTCTGAATAAAAATCTCTCAAAGATAGCTCTCTAATAGATCTGAATTTTGTATGTAAAAGCCGTGAATAAACCTAGATGATTATCTGGGTTTATATAGAGTTTAGAATGTCCTAATCCCTTTGAAAATATAGAAAAATCTGTGTATAGGACTTGGTACAATTCTACACCAAATAGGAAAGAAATTTGAAACAGGAAACTAAAATTGGAATGTTGTCAGGGCTTCTTGAATTGGTTTAGGGGTGCTTAACCGGTTTAAGATTGGCGGATTAATTTCGAGCCAACCTTGAAGGGTCTTAAACCGGTTTAAGGATGCTAAACAGGTTCAAATCTAGCAGACTTGAATTTCTGAGGCTCTGAAGGCTGAAAACACAATTTTGGTAAGTTTGAAAAATATACCAAGCGTTGAATGTGTCCTAACCTTTTTAGATTCCTTCCTAAAGTGTTGTTTTTACCTTTCTCGAATGATTTCAGTCATGGTATGTAATACTCCTATATTTTAAAATAATTATTTATAGGGATTAATTATTTTTATTTCATTTAAAAAAATGATTTGTTTAATTTAATTAGATTTAATTGATTTTATTTAATTTTTATATGATTTATTTTTATTTAATTGAGTGCTTAGATTAATTGTCTTATTTTAATTGAATTATATTTTGTGATTGATATGATGATTATTGTGTGTGTGCTTGATTATTGATTGAATTATTAGTGTGTTGATTTTATTGGTACGGTGTGATTTGGTTGTAATTTCTTGTTTTAATTATTTAATTTATTTAAATTAATTGGATTTGGGCTCAAGGGAAGTTGGACCAAAGGATGTGGTCTTGGGCTTGTATGAAGCCTTATTGGGTTAATTAATAAATGCCCATGGTTATGTGATTATTTAAATTATTATTTTTGTATAATTATAAATATATATTTAATTATATTTAAATATAATTATTTAATAAATGTTATGGAAGGATATATATATTTATTGAAATACATAGGTATATACGATTTAATTAACTAATGATTAATTATGGAATAGGATTAAGGTATATACTTATTATTATTTTTATTTGGTATTCATAATAGGAATAGGATTAAGGTAATTAATGTGTATAAATATACACATAGGGTTTTATTGTTGAAAGTTTTCACGTTAGAAAATAAGAGAGATATAAAGAGAGGAAGAGAAGGTTGACAAGAAGGATGCCGGACCTAAGAAAGAGGATTCTGGAATTGGAAAAGACTATCAAAGCTTGAAGATTTAATTTATTAGGTTAAATCACGGTTAGAACGAATTAATCAAAATCATTAAGCTAATTTATTTGATTAAATCATGGTTAAATCGAAGGAATTAAAAGCATGTTTTATTATATTTTATTTTATTTAAAATTTTGTATTTTAAATTGATAGATGTATGTGCTGTATTTATTTTTAAATCAACTATTATACTTGATCTATGACCCAAGAGGGTTATTTAGGATTTATAGAAATTCTGGAAATTTTTTGAAATTTTCTAGAATTTTCTAGTATTTTTCTATATATTTTTTAGGAATTTATTTGATTTATTTTCCTATTTTTGGAGTATATATATATGAGGCTGTTGTGTGAATCGGCGCATCCACCATGGGCGAAGATTCAGTGCAATGCAGTGTACAAAGCTTTCGGTGTGCTCAGGTTAGGACCATGGAATAATGGTCCTGATGAACAATGGAAGATCAGGTGGGGGCGTGTGCATGATCTGACCCATAAGTGGAGTTGATGGATAGTGGATTGATCAGGTGTGGTGCAGTGTATGGGCATCTAAACCTTTGACTTGTTCTGGTCAACATTGAAATGATTCGGTGTGGCACATCCTAACAGATCATGGAGTATCAGCCAGTCAGGAGATGCCACGTCAGCCAGAGGAATCATCAGTCGCCTGGGCAGCGCGTGAGAGTGCGTGAAGACACTTGGCTTCTTGTGGTGGTGCATGAAGAGTCTTTGGGCGCGTTTGGCGGCGAGTGGGGGCACATGCATGGGTGTTTGAGGTCCCAAGAAGTTGCTGTGGAGCCCGTTGATGTCCTAGAATTGATTTCAAGCTTGTTAATGTTGAAATCAATTAGTAAAGGAGACATTTTAGGTGTTTGAGGGCTGTAGGATGCTACTACGTTATTTATTTGCATTAATTTGCGTAAATATAATAAATTACTAATTTATTATGGAAGGATATATATATATATATATATATATAATTATTTATATATGTGTATATATAGTTTAGTATGGAGGGATGTGAATATTTATATATATATGTTGATATATATGTATATATATGATTTAAATAATCAAGGATTATTATGAAATGTATTATACATGTATATAATATATATATGTGTCTAGTTATATATCATTTAAGATTATTAAATATTATAAATTTTATTTTTTATAGCTTGACTTGACAAGCCATGGTTGAATTGCCATTGAATAAATAAATATATTTATAATGGCATGGCTGATTGGCCAAAGTATAATTAGTTGGTACATAGTTGAATTGTAGGTATGGATGAGTTGCCAAAGGTTTAAATAAATTACCTAATTATTTGTATGAATAAATTATATACATGGGAAGCATAGACGAGTTGCTAATTTAAAAATATAAATATATATACTTAAGGAGGCATGGTTGAGTTGCCAATATATAACTAAAAATATTTAAAATGGCATGATTGATTTGCCAAAGTATAATTGAATTTCTATGTGTTAGATGATTAAAATTTCATCTATGATTATTGTATGTGTAAGTTGGATTAGGATTAGATATTCTTATATAGAATAATCTAGTACTTGCAGGTTAATTATTATTTTATAATATTAATAAAATAATATTGGTGGAGATATGGACGATTTGTCAAAGCTTATATATTGGTTGTGTGATTTAAATAATTAAATCATTATTGGGTTTTAAATTAAATGTAACATTCTTTTAATTATATTATATTGTTTAAATAATTAAATAATTGTCTAGGATGGGATTAAGGTTAAAGGAGTTTTATTTTAAAAGAAAAGATATTGTGGAT